CAGTTCAATATCCTAATTTAAAAGTTTCAGAAAAAAAGACAGAAAAAAAGAGAGGAAGAAACTAAAGAATTTTTAAAAATTTCTCAGACTTTAATGGACATGAGTTTTCATATTAAAAGGGCCCACTAATGGCCTGAAACAATGGATAAAAATAGACTGCCTTCCAGAGAGAAAATATAATAATAAGTCAAAAATCAGAATGGCTTCAGCCTTCTCAACAGTAACACTAGAAGACAGAATACTATGGAGCAATGACTTCAGAATTCTGAAGCAAAAATATTTTGAAATTAGAATGCTATTGTACAACCATTCAAATTACCATTCCAGTAGCAAGACAGAATAAAATCATTTTCAGACCTGCAAGGTCTTAATACATTTATTACTGATGCAGTATATTTCAGGAAGCTCATGGAGGATATGCTCCAATAAGGCAACAAGGAAGAAAACAAGAAAGAGAAAGTTAAAGGATATTGATAATAGAAATCCAACACAAGAGGTTCAAAAACGGAATTTCAGAGATGCCAGTAAAGGTCAATTCCAGGATTAGTCGTGCACCAGAGGCAGACAGACCAGGTCAGAAAGTTTCCATTATCAGGAAGAGGAAATTGTAAAATATCTAATGTGTCTAAATATCTTAAGAAGCAATTTAGATAACTAACAAAGAATCTGAAGTTGAATTAGTGATAAGTATACAGAAAATGAAGCAAATGAAAACTAAAATCAAAATAATTATTAGCTACATGGAGGTCAGAAAATTGTCGAAGAAAAGTTAGTAAGTATGGTTTATTTCACAGCTCAGGTGTACAGTCACAAAATACTGATTTAGTCTACATTAATTATAAGGGTCAGAGCATAGAAAGGATGTACATGTGATGGGTGGAAGGCAGAAAGAGAGCTAATTCTCATAGGCCATAGTAGGAACTAATAGATAATGCCTAAAATAACTTTTTTTTAATTAAAAATATTGCAAAACAGCATTTTATATATAAACATAGAAGTAAAATACAAAAATAAGCAGTTACTGTCTCACTCTCCTAAAAGGATAAAATAAACTTTAAAAAAAAATAAGCAGTTAGATGAAAATTGTTCATCTGAGAAAGGGAAATGGGGGTATGGTAGGAAGTGGAATTGTTTTGTTTCCTTAACAAACCCTGCAGAACTATTTGACTAAGGACCTAAAGTGACTGAGTGTTTATATGAGGGAGAAGTCGCTTCAGCGTTAGCATGGTCAGGGAAGATTTAACACATGATCCTAAATCTGAAGTTGTATCTTCAAATATGGGTAGTTTTCAAAAGGCAAAGCAATATATAAAGGCAAAGCTTACCTCCTCTCTCCCAACTCAGAAAACCCAATTTAGTTTGAAGTCAGCTTATTGAGGCCTGAAGCAGTCTCAATGGCATGTACAATGTACAACCAAAAATGTGTCTCCATTCTGAATGACTTTCAGAAGGTCCAGAGACTTTCTGGGTTTTCAGTGGGCTTTTGTGAAAGACTACGTATCTTGTTTAGTTAGTCCACCCTAGAACAGAACTATTTCTGCCATCTTAGAACTAAATTCTCCCATCATTTCCAGTCCATCCCTACACTTACTACCCTGATGAGGAACCTTATCAACAACATACACGCGAAAGCAAATTTCATCTACTTGGCTCCATGGGAAAGCAAATTTCATTTACCACTTGGCTCCAAACATTTTATAGCATTTCATTAACTTTATTAATATACTGTTAAGGTTTAAGTGTATCCCCCAAAGTACACATTTGGAAACTTAGTCCTCAGTGCAACAGTGTGGAGAAGTAGGACCTTTAAGAGGTGATTAGGTCATGAGGGCTTTGTCTTCATGAATGGATTAACGTATTATCACAGAAGTGGGTTAGTTATTGCAAAAGTGGCTGTTACAACAGTGAGTTCAGTTCCCCTTTGCTCTTGCTCTCTCATGTGCATTCTCTTGCCTTTCTGCCATTGGATGGCGCAGGAAGAAGGCCCACATGAGATGCTACTACCTTGATATTGGACTTCCTAGCCTCTAGAACTCCGAGAAATAAATTTCTTTTCTTTATAAATTACCCAGTTTGTGGCATTAATGTTATAGCAATACAAAACAGAAGACATATACCATGAAATAAAAATTGTCAGTATGTCAGTCTTGAGAATACTTTTTATAACGTTAAAGGAATGGTATACTCTAGTCAGGAGGCACATTGAGATTAATCACCTAATGACTATGGGACCCTCTAACCTGAGCAGTTGTAAATGAGAGGTTAATCTTATCTCACCAATCATCCACTATCTAGCCCTATGTCTGGCAAAATGCAAGCTGTTGAACAGTCACTGAATATGTGAATGAATTTTGAAAAACAAAAACAAAAACCAAATGATAATAATTTAAAAAACCAGTTTTCAAATAGAGAATCATTTCAGCCCAAAGTTCCTCAAGTTCCTGATAAATGGAATCACGCCAGTGATTTTTTTTTTTTTTTTGAGACAGAGTTTCACTGTGTTGCCCGGGCTAGAGTGCCGTGGCGTCATCCTCGCTCACAGCAACCTCAGACTCCTGGGCTCAAGCGATCCTCTTGCCTCAGCCTCCCGAGTAGCTGGGACCACAGGCACGCGCCACCATGCCCGGCTAATTTTTTCTATATATTTTTAGTTGTCCAATTAATTTCTTTCTAATTTTAGTAGAGACGGGGTCTCGCTCTTGCTCAGGCTGGTTTCGAACTGAGCTCAAACAATCCGCCCGCCTCGGCCTCCCAGAGAGCTAGGATTACAGGCGTGAGCCACCGCGCACGGCCTCACGCCAGTGATTTAAACTCTGGCCAACCTAGTACCATCCTACAAAACATGTTAAAGTTTAATGATAGGACTCAACTATTAAAACAGGCATCTTTACTCCTCACTGCAATGTTTATATTACTGGGCATACACTTCTACTAGACTTGATGTTAAAGGTAAGCTTAATCAATAATTGTACTCAAATGCAAAAAAAGCTACATATTAGTGTAACTAAGTGATCTGGGATATCACAGAATCTTAGAGTTACAAGAAAATCTTTAAAGGTTATCTCGTCCAATTCAATACAGCAGTTTGTGCTATAATATTCACAGTCCAGTGGATCATTGTGCTTTGGCTAAAACTCCTGTGAAAACATTCAAACAGACTTGCTTCCACCCTTATCCCTTTCCAATCCATTCTCCATCAGCAGCAAGCAAAAACTTCTCAACAAGTGAATCAGATCATGCTACTCCCTGCTTGAAAGTATTTGAAGGCTTCCACCTACAAACTCCATGACCTGGTTCCTGCCAACCTCTAAGACCTGCCTGCACCTCAAAGTGCATTCCCTACTGCCACACAGGGACTTTCCTCTCTCTCAGTCCAGACCCTCTGTGATTGCTGTTCCTGGTGCCTAATTCGATCCTCTTCATTCGTCCCTCCAAGACCAGCTTCATACATCTCATGCTTCAGATGTCAGCTTAAAAAAAAAGAAAAAAAACCTCTTCAGAGGTCCTTCCTCCCCTATATGTTTTCTTCACAGTACATATGGAAGTTTTAAATTATTTATTTGCTTGGTTTTTAATCCATCTTCCCCAGCAGACCATAAGAATGCTTCATAAACATTGGAAACTTATTTTCTTATTCCTCTCCAGGATCCCAAACAAACAGGAGGCACTCAATAGATATCAACTGAATTTATGGATGGTCATGCAAACTCTGAAACCTCTAGCGAGGGGAAACTTACTAAATAACAAAGTAACCTCAGTTTTTCATTTTCTGAACTGAAATCTGTCTTCTAGGTCTTAAATTTCCTGTTATAATCAGCTAAATTAGGGCTGAACCCTTGAACTTAATCTAGACTGGAGCTTTATTTTCTGGTCTTTTTTAGTCTTTTTTATTTTTTGGGACCATGACCCCCTCTGATAAATCCTTTGAAGGCAACAGGCGTTCTCTCTCCTCAAGAAAACGGTTCATCTCACACAGCAATATAAACATTTGAGGGGTTTCACCACCTCCACTCGAGACCGTCACAGATCACAGACTAGAATTCTAACTTGAACAATGAGCAGAGGATTCAATGCAGCTTTTGAGAACTAAGGTCTTCAAAAATTAAACCTGAGAAAAAACTACAGAGCAACTTACAGGGGGAAAAGAAATAAGAGAGAACATTATCAGATGCATTCATATTACCTCAGTTAGGAGGGTGCAATTGGCATCAGTATATTTTCAAGTCTAAAAGAAACTCGGAAGATCATCGTCCAAAACCCGGAGCCCCAAAAGGCTTGTCCAAGGTCACTCACTCGTTAGTGGTCAAGTAAGAACAAGAAAGTAGGTCTCTGGTCCCCCAGTCTGGTGCTCTCCTTCCACTTTAATCTCTCTAGTTCTTGCACTGCGCGCCCAAAGTGCCAGTACTCTGATAACTGGGAGGGAGCGGGGAGTAGAGGGAAGGCTGGGAAGAGAGGGAGAAGGAAGGATAAACGGGGAAGGGTCACTCTTTTCCCACTCGTCAGGAAGCTTGCAACAGGCGACGGTAGCACGGATCGCAGGTCTCACCTGTCTGGGGCCCAAAGGCGGGTAGTGCGGTCTCGGGACACTGACACAAAGGCACCCGGCGGATAGAGGCAACACACCAGGCCCCGCACGTCCAGCTCGTGGCCCGGGAGCGAGCAGCTCAGCCGGTACCTGGTGGCGCCGCTCGCCATGGCCAGTGTTGGTCTGGCGCCGGGCCGGGACACCGCTCGAGATCAGTCCTCAGCGGAGACCCGGCGTGCGCCGGGCAGCTGCAGTAGAAGGGCCCGGAGGTAAGCGGCGGTCGGATACCGGAAGAGCCCGAGAGCCGGTGCGGAAGGGCGGCGGGGAAGCGGCGCGCCGAGCGGGCCGAGTGACACAGCAACCCTCACATGTACACCGGAATTTATCATCGGCCTCAGCCCGCCATGACGCTGAGCGTGTGCGTCCCGCCCGCTGAGGCCGACGCCGTGCTGCGGCGGCTTGCTTCTTTCCCGCGCTCTGGACCACCGGCGGAGGAAGAGAGCGATGTCCAGCCTTTCTGTCCTGATGTTTGAACCCCGAGTCCTGTCCAAACCCGGATTCTTCCCGAGCCCGGGCCGAATTGTTTATTGTACTTTCGGCCGGGACTACAAATCCCACAATGCCGCGCGCCAATGGGGCGTGAGCAGCTGGAGCGCCGAACCCGGATATTTTAAATTTGGGTTCCCAGCGCTGCGCACGGCTCAATGTTTTAGTGAGATTGCTTGGTTATCTTATATTAAGGAATCCTTATCCCTTTTTCCCCAGAGTCTTCTGAGATTTTTGCCAGTTAACGTTGTCTTTCCATTAAAACCTGAAAGCTTGAGGCCAACCTGGTAACTATTGATCGTTTCCCTCCGTTTCAAGTACCTCGATCTCCTTGTTCTTAGCAAATAAAGACGGTGGTCAACGTCCATTCATTTAAAGTATCTTTGCTTTCATCTGGCGGCTTGTTGAAATGCAAATGCTGATTCAGTAGGTCTGGGGTAGAGCTGATAATGTATATTTTTAACAAACTCCGGGTGATGCTGCTTTCTAGTGTAAAGGAAAATAAAAACCTCAGGACCTCCCTACTCTGGAGGGTCAAGCCTGGAGGCTGAGTCATGCAACACCCCCTTCCAAATGAATAGCTTTTACTAACGTTATGCATTAGGCAGATCCCCAGGAAAGGTAAAAGCCATAAGGCATCTGCTAAGGACTGCCCCCACAGACCATTCCTAAGAAAAAATCTACATCCATTTGGGTTACTATAACAAAACACCTTAAACTGGATGATTTATAAACAACAGGAATTTATTACTCATGGTTCTGGAGGCTAGGAAGTCCGAGATCAAGGAGCCAGTAGATTTGGTGTCTCATGAGGGTTCTCTTCTTCATAGATGGAACCTTGTTGCAGTGTCCTCACGTGGTGGAAGGGGCCCAAGAACTCCCTTGAGCCTCTTTAATAAGGGCACCAATTCTACTCATGTAGACTCTGCCCTCGTGACCTAGACACCTACCAAAGGCCCCGCCTCCTAATGCCATCAACTTAAGGGGTAGGTTTCAACATATGAGTTGTGGGGGGACAATATATTTAGACTTTAGCACTTTTTAAGGACAGTAAGGCAGACCTAGTCAAGAAAGACCATGATAACAGGTATAGGACCTACTGCAATGGAGTTTTGCATTCAGGGAGAGAGATTGAGCTCAATTTCAAATGCAGTACAGCATATTCAAGTGGGAATTTATAGCCAAGGAGCAGGATGGGGGTCAGTGGATAGAAAATTACCAAGATGAATCAAGCGTAAGGGGAATTCTTGTTAAACTGACTCAACAGAATTCTTGCCTGGGAGGCCAGGGTGATAAGATACCAATGGTGGTCAGATTCCAAGGATGGGAGACTTTGCTAAACTGACTTAGCAGGATTTTTGCTCAAATTGGATTCTATCAGGATAGAGAGGGAAGCCCAAGGTCAGGCCTAGGCAGAAAGGACTGCTGTGGGCCTGACTAAAGTTTTAGTCACTGGAGAGAGTTTTTGTAACCCCCTTCCTGCTTTTTGTAATTCTTAACTTCTCTGATTCTACTGAGCACCTGCTTGACCCCCTTCCCTTATGCTCCTTCATGCTTCCTTTAAAATGCCCACTCTGTACAAATGGAGGCTGAGTTCAGTTTATACTGAACTCTTTTCTCTATTGCAATAGTAAATAGATTAAAATCTGTCCTCACTACTTTAACTAGTTCTGGGCTTTGTTTATCATTGACAATGCAAATAAATATATAATTGCAAATTATAATGGGTGATATGCAGTGTTAAAATAATTCAACGGGAGGCCATTAGCCTGAAGTCACTCTAATGTTCTGGGTTCCTAAATAAGGAAAATGAAACTTAAACCCAGCCAATCACAAGTAGCTAACTGGTCATGAGTTATATTGCCTTGAAGATCCCACCGGAATAGTCCTATTAAGGCAATTGCTTAAACTGTATTTATTTATTTTTAGAGACAGAGTCTTGCCCTGTCACCCAGGCTGGAATGCAGTGACATGATCATAGCTCACTACAGGATTGAATTTCTGGGCTCAAGTAATCCTCATGCCTCAGCCTCTCGAGTAGTTGGGAGTAGAGGTGTACACCACCATGTCTGGCTAATTTTTAAAATTTTCATAGAGATAGGATCTTCCTATATTGCTCAGGCTGGTGTGGAATTCCTGGCCTCAAGCAATCCTCCAGCCTTGGCCTCCCAAAGTGCTGGGATTATAGGCATTAGCCACCATGCCCAACCTAAACTCTAGTTAATCAAATAATTTCTGTGTTCTCCTTCTGCATTCGCCCTATAAAAGCTTTCCTTTCAACTACCTCTGGCAGAGCCCCTAACCACTTATGATTTGTAGTTGCCCAATTCATGAATTGCTATCTGCTCAAATAAACTCTTTAAAATTTTAATGTGCCAAAGTTCATCTTTTAATAGTAGGAAAAGTACAGGGTGCACTCAGGACGTATAAAGGGGTAGGGGAGCCAGGGGAAAGTGGAACACAAATCTAGTCTGGAGTGCCAGAAACCTCTTTGAAGAAAGAAATTTGAGTTAAAACTTGAATGATGAATAGGATTTTTGACAGTGAAAAACAGTGGGACAAAGATTCCAGGAAGAAAGACTAGCAGTGGAAAGGTCTAGAGACCAAAAGGAACTTGACACACAAGTAGTTCTACAACAAACCTACAATTATTTGATGTAACCTAAGTCCCTGTATCTTAAAAAAAACAGAATCTCATACACAATGATCCAAAGTCAAATAAGATATGGTGTCTACTCCAAGGAAGCTCATAGGCTAGTAAGTGAAATGTATTCCTATTCTTTATTTCTTTTTCATCGTGAAAAGGATATGGTTACAGGGATCACTCCTTATTACCGAAGTGATTTTAAACAAATTATCTAATCTCTTTAAAACTTAGATATTAGTACCTGTCCTGCCAATTTCAACTGTTTTATCTGTCAGGGTCCTTAATTGCAAGCAACAGAAACTATCTATTGTTGATTTAAGAGCAGAAAAGGAATTCATTAAAGCAGCAGTCCCCAACCTTTTTAGCTCCAGGGACCGTTTTCATGGAAGACAATTTTTGCATGGACTGGGGAGGGGGGATGGTTTCAGGATGATTCAAGTGCATTACATTTATTTTGCATTTTATTTCTATTATTATTGCATTGTAACATAAAATGAAATAATTATATAACTCATCATAGGTTGGGGAACCAAATATTAAAGGACATCAAGTAGCTCACAGACCCTCCAAGAGGTTGAAGAAATAGGCTAGAAGTTCTGTCCTAATAAAGCCTCTGAGCATGAACACTGCAGCTTACACTGACACATTGTTGCTGGACATTGGTTGAAGCTGATAGAATTTGCAGTCTTGGAAACTAGATGTAGTTGCTGCAGCTTTCACCCTTACTCCCTAAAGTCCTGTTTCTGGCTGTCATTCAAGTTTTGGATAGATGCATCACAATTCGCTCATGTCCCAATGATAAGGAAGACTAGGAAAGCCAGTATTGGTCACTTTCAGTTCCCTTTCAGAGCGGGCTAAGGGAAAAACTCTGCCAAACTGTTTAGCTACAAAGTGGCCAAAAGGATGACAAATGACCACTGCAAACAGATCGGGCTCAGATAATTACATAAAAATGTTTTACAAACTTTTATAGGAGAACTCAGCCACATGACATTATTTCATTTTGCATTGTATTGATTTTTAATTCCTTGAAGGCAGGCATATAAGAGACTAAACCTTAATGTCATATGCAAGTTGGAAATAATGTGTAAAATAATGTTAAAATCCCAATTTGTATGCAATCCCATTTAAGCTCCATTTAAAGGCTAGAAGAAAGCATAAAAGTTACTTTATTAGATAAGTGAGATTTGAGGTGATGTCATCCATTTTTTTTTAAAGATAATTTTTTTAAGAACACGTTCCATTTAATTCACAGCTTTCTTCCCAGACTTTGGTCAAAAGAATACTGCTGAAAGGAAGCTTAAAGATGAGAAGTTTCCAGTGAAATGAGAAAGAACAGAACAGGTGGTGCCAGGATAGCATCCATACTAAATGTTACATCATGTACGTTATGCAGTCCTAATAGGAAGGAAAATTACCACTAATTAGGAGTAAAAAACCCCAAAATAACTATACAATGCTGCCTACCACAGAATAACTTCCAACAAAAATGTAACCCGTTACGGGGTAGCAGACGTGAGGTTACATGATATAGCAAATTCGCGAGAGTTGGTTCAGGTAAGGCACACAGAGGTTGCTCTGGTTATCAAAAAAGCTAAATGTTCAACTAAAATGTTTTCTTCAGTTTCCCAGCCAACCCGCTGTTGTCCATCTCTTCCAGAAAAGCACTGAGGAGATACGGCGAAAACAATAGTTGTCGAATCTCGCGAGAGCACTTAGCTCTCGCTCAGCTCGTTTGTACCAGGAATAGAGGCAGAGGATTGGCCAATTGGGAGGAGGAACTTCCGCCATCCCCGCCCCCGTTGCCGGGATACGCGGCGGCGCGCGGCCGCTTGTGGCTAGGCCGGAGGCCGAGAAGAGCTGTTCGTGGGCAAACCTGGAGCTTCGAGTGGGCTAACCCGTGCACTCAGCCTGAGAAAAAGGTTCGAGCGCCCCCGAGCCGAGCCTTGCAACCGCCCTTCTGTTGCGCCGGCGGAGGTGAGAAATCCGAAGTCACATGTCTTCCTCTCCCCCTTCCTCCCGCGGCGGTTATCTTAGCTTGGAGATACTGATCCGTTCCAAACAAAACAAATTCAAGCGCTTCGGTTCTTAGTTGTCGTCTTCGGGTCCCTCGCCAGGCCGGGCAAGTTCCCTAGTCTGGTCTGGTAAAGGGAGCATAGGGACCACCTCCGACAGTCCCCTGAGGAGACCTGCCAAACCGAGACCAGAGGGAAGGATCCAAGAATTTCTCTGTGGGCTGAAGGATTCTACTCCAAGTAATAAATTTCTGTCGGATGGCTACAGTGGAAGGGACATTTCTGTCGGTTGGTCACAGTGGAGGGACTTAGCATCTTTCTACTTCTTCACATAGATAAGAACGGTTGGCTTAGGGAGCATAATGATAATAATTAGGAACCGGATGTTTTACATATATGATCTGTAATCTTCACAACAGCTCCTCAAGGTAGGGCTCATTGCTACACTTGTATTTTACAGGTGATGAAACATTCTCTGAGGGGCTAAGTAAAGTGCCAAAATTATACAGCTGGTCAGTGCTACAGTTTGTATTCCTAGTCTTTTTGGAACCAAAGACCAGGCTGCCTCTGATTGTGTGAATAATTGAATAAACCCAGAGTTAGTGGCCTATTTGTTATTAATGCTTCTCCTCTCCCTTTTCTTAACCTAACGGGACTGATCTAGTGGTAAGCTTTTTCTACTACAGTAAAGCAGTGGCAAAGAAAATTGGATGGAATTTCGGTATAGTGTACATTTTCTCAACATTATCAGGAAAGCTGGAGTAACAGCGACTAATTCCACTGGAAACAGATTTTTATTGTACTAGTTTTGTTTTGGGAAAACCATCTTGACTGTAGTCTTTGTCTTCCTTTTAAAATGTTATTTTATGAAACTACTTTTTCCATTTGAAATTTTTCTATTGCTTTGTCTGCAGAGTTCAAAACAGCAAGGAAATAGAATCAGGGATTTAGGTAGGATGGGAGGATTGTTAAGTTTGGTGTGAACATATTCAAATGAAGTGATAATGGGATATCTAAATGGAAATTTCCAGTAAATAATTGAAAATTCAGAATTGGCATCCAGTTTAAAGGACAGAACTGTAGACATTGATTTATGAGCCATCTACGTAGTTGAAATTATAAGGATGGAAGATTGCAGAAAGAAGCAATCTAAGGACTGATCATGGTTGAAAAACAAAACAAAAAAACAGAGAAATAGTACTGGGCATAGGATATAGAAACAAAGAAACCTTTAGTTCAACAAACGTTTTATTTCATTTTTAACAATTTAGTAAATTTTATAATTGGCAACACCTTCGTGTGGTAGGAAATTCAAAAGGTACCAAAGAGAACAGAAAGTTTCTGCTTGTCACTGAGACAGATTCTGGGGATACAAAGATGAATCAAATATAGCTATTGCCATCAAGGGAGAGAAATGCTTAAGTAGATTCTTCCCATTGGTGTGATAGGTACTGAAATAGAGATGTGCATGGTAGGATATAGAAAAGGCCTATAAATTTAAATTCAAGAAGGTGTAGGGGTGGTTGTGGACTAGTGATGGAAGGGTTCCTAGAGAAGATAATAGGCAAGATGTGTGTCAGGCAAGGGGACACTTAAAGAGACTGGTATAATAATCCACTTGAGTCAGTGATGCCCTGAAGTGGCCAGTAAAGATACCTGTTAAAGATTTATGAACAAAATTAGTAGGGCAAAAAAAAAATCCGAAAAACTCAATAGGACTATATGACCAGCTATGGGAAGTGAGGGAGAAGGAGAAATCAAGGACTAAGTTTCTGACTTGTGTGACTAGGAAGCAGTACCAAGAGGAGGGGAAAATTTGGGGAATATGATAACGATTACATATGTTTATTTTGAAATATTTGGACAACATGTAAGTGGATACATTAAATAATTTGAATATAAACAACTCAAGCTGAGTGGAAAAGGTCTATACTGGAGTCATAAGCTTATTAATTGTTAAGACCCTGAATGTGGATGAGGCAGTCCAAGGAGAACTTAGAGAAAAGAAAAATAGATTGTGGATGGTATCTTAGGGAATTCTGCTATTTAAGGGCAGATCAAGGAGACTGAAAAAAGGAGATCCAGAAGAGAAGAATGTCATGGAGTGGTTTCATGTGGAGTAGACATCAGTAGCAGTGGGGTGACATCCCTGGCAATATTGGCAGGGGTGATTTGAGTGAAACAGTAGCAAACCAGAGATAGGAGATAGTGGAAATTGAAGTAATAGAGAATAGTGCATATAAGCTACTGTTAAATACAATTCGGCTGCATAAGGAAAGGATATATGGGACTGAGTTAGAGGTGGTTATAGGATTGAGAAATTAGTTTTTGAAGTTAGGAAAGAATTGAATGTGGTAACAGACCGAAAGAAAGGAGAAAGTTTAAAGATATCAGCAGGAGTGGGGATAATGCCTCCAAGGAGATGGGATCAAAAGGGTAGATCAGAATAGAGGTAGATCTTGAATGAGAGAAAGGATGACTATTGAGATTGAATGTTTTATCAAGGATAAATAAAATAATTTCTGAGATAAGAGTCCAGCTAAGGTTGGTGACTATCACCTTGTAGTATCCCAATCTATACAGTTGTGTGATGTCCATCAGTAATGTTTAGCAGTCCAGTTTGGATGTAGAGAAGGGTTTCTGATTTTGCCAGATGGATTGGAGAAGAGTTTGAGGATACAAATTAATTGATGGTGCTCATGAGACAGTAGTTTCACGTAGAGAAGGAAGAGAGTCCTTGAAACTGCCCTTGTCCAGTTCACTAATGACTCCTTGGATGGGAACTTCAGTGGACATTTCCATTTTTATCTTACTTGAATATCCAGCAGTAAGTGGCATAGCTTAACATTCCTGCCTTCTCTTGGCATCTCTGACACACACTCCTGGTTTTTCTCTTTTCTTTCTGGGCC